TTTTTTGTGCAAGCATGCACTAAGCATAGCTTCGTAACTCTTGCAATGGAACACGTACTAATAAGAAAGCGTAATACAAAGCAAACATTTTGAATTCCGATGCGGATGGTATAGTTACACACTATGGTCCGACGGAACTTTTATAACAACTTGACATTCGCTTATAGCGCGAAGGTGTTGTGGAAGCGAGCAAGTTTGCTCGAGCACAGACTCGAGAACGTATGTGTATGTTTATATTCCGTTGAAAATCGTTCGAATTTAGTAACGATACTCTCCATTAGCTAAGGTATTTCGACGTGAATAGCGAAGTAAATTAGCTGCGTAATAAACGGTTGAATGACACCTAGCTGCTCTCTATTATATTTTTGTATGAACAAAAAAAAAAAAAAAAAAGAAAAAGAAAAAAATCGCTAGAATATGAGAAATATGCAACTCGAGAACGTCAAAATTCTACGCTCACCGAAAACACAAACATTCACACGAAGTGGATAAAATTATAAAACACTAACATTTGAAATAAGAAAAAATATATACATATCATAATGATTGGATATTTTTATTACTAAAAAAAAAAAATATATCAATTTTAGATCGGAGAATCTTTGAATTTTAATATCGTAGAAAATGAAAATTTCGAAAAAGAATAATACACGAAGGTGACGAGAAATGACGAGAATGATATTAAAAAATTAAAAAAAACAATTTCGTTGAAATTGTACTTTTTTTTTTTTTTAAATTCAAAATTCGCTATAATATTTATAAATTTATATCACAAGTAATATTATTGTTTTTCTCGATTTTATCTCGTAATTTTATCCACTATAGCGTACCTCTCCGCATTCTAAAACTCCCTTTCGAAACTCTCACGAATTAAAGAAATCGCGGGTATTCCCTGAAAAACGTTTGAAACTCGTGAAACATTGCATTCGTAAGCGTTCTCCGCAATTAGCGAATAAACGACACTTTCGAGCGCTCGCGTTACACGAGAGGTACAACCTTTTAACGTTTATCGCGTAACACGGGTCAACCCCGTTGCTCGGTTGATAAATATACGATAGCTGCCCTCGCGCGTCGCGGTAATTTTCAAACTGATATTCATGCGTCGTTTCCCTTTAATTGCAACGGAGATCGCGTTAAATCGATCTCGATTACTTTTGTAATCGTGTAACCACGGGCCTATTGTCCGATCATCGTAGAATACTCCACGAACAGGACACACTTGACGAGATTCCCTACAAAAGATTTTTAAACGTAGAATTGGTGGTGGGACGCCACGTTGACAATACGTTTCGTAATGAACGTTTCGCGACCGCGGAAAAATATATATGTCAGATACGTAAAGTCTATTATTAAGATGCGAAACGAAATTTCACAATGAAATTATTGACAATTACTCTCGGGAGTTATTTTTTTTTTTTTTTTTTTTTTTTTGTTTCGTAATAATTTTCAACGTGAACGCAGCAGCATCGTAAAAAAAAAAAAAAATAACTCTCGAGAGTATTTCGGGAAACTTTTATTAAATGACTCTTAATTGTATTTATAATCCATCCATTTCGTGACGTCAGCGCGTATGTATCGCGTTTCACGATTGGCGATGGTCATATTATTCTTATACTCTGCGAGCATCTCCGACTCGGAGATTCGGAAACGTTAATTTCTGCGTAGGAAGAACGAGATAGGAAGTTGCGTAACACAAGTTGTTTCGATAAGAAAGAACAAGCGTTTATTCGTCCGATCGTCAGTTAATCCCTCTTTGAAAACGAGAAGCCCGACGACGACTCGGATATTTCGATCGTACACGCGTGCGCGTGCACCGACGCGCACGCGCGCGTTTCTTTCCAATTAATTGTATTAATCGTCAAATTGGAGGATGCTCAATTAAACCCAATAAGTTAACTATTAAATAATCGTTGCGAATTGAGGCCAGCCGTTCGTGGCGTAGCCGGTATTCGAGTCATATCATACTCGCGTTCGTTCGTTCGCTCGCGTTGCGCATGCGCAAGCGCAGATGCCAAACGGTTGCGCGAGACTGCGATTACCGTGTAACGTTTAAGCAAAATATTTTCTATTAACGATCGAGCTTGTTTCGTTAAGAACTTCTTTCTTTCTCTTTTCTTTCACTCTTTTTTTTTTCTTCTCTTTCTCTCTCCCTCTTTGTTTTATTCTATATAACGATTGTACGCCAACGATAATACAATCGATACGTTAACGTATACACGACACGTAGTGTTTATTTCCCGCTCCCACATATCCCCGCCGCAACTTGCCTTTCAATACTTTGTTCGCAGGTACGCTACGCCCCAACCAGCTACAAAGGAACCTAAGTACACGATACTCGCACCTTCGCTCGACTTACCTACGTCTGGTTTATTTACCCTATTTATATTGTCGTATGGCTTGTATCGATTTCGTCGAATTCGAATCGTCGTCGCTTTCGAAACGATTCGATTCGATTCAATTTGATTCTTTCAATTCATTTGCATATATTCGTTCGCGCGAATCGACGCGCGTCCGTTTACACGCTCGCGTAACACGGCGAATCAACTTTTCGATCGATCGATTCGAATCGATCGCGTGTTAACGAACCGATGAGTCACGAATAACGAAAACGTATAATGAAATGGGGGAAAAAAAAAAAAAAAAAAAAGAAAGAAAAAGAAAAAGAAAAAAGAAAAAGAAAAG